AGTTTGGCTCTCCCAAAGATCCATGTGTTAAAGTTTTGATTTCCAGCTCTTCTATTGAAAGGTGTTGGAAACTTTAAGAGATGGGACCCAAGGGAAGGTCTGAGGTAGTTGTGGGTATAGTACCCTCCAAGAGAACTGTGGGATTCTGGTCTCTTTCTCCCCTGCACTCGCTTCTTGGCCACCAGGAGAGCCGTTTGATCTATCATATAGTCCTACCATGATGTACCACAAAAGGTCCAAAGCAATAGAACCAACTGATCATGGATTGAAACCTCTAGAAAATAAATATTTGTGAGTTAAAAAATAAACCTTTTATCTTCATAAGTTGATTATCTCAGGTATTTGTCAGGGAGATAAGAAGCTGACTGATACAAACCTGTAGAATTACAATTCATCCACATGGAGTGAAATGCCAATTGGTAATCTTTGAGTTCTTTTTATATTTTTCATCAGGAAAAAAAAAGAAATATGGAAGGAAATTCTTCCTGGGAAGAGAGCAAGCAGTGTGTTGCAAAATGATCAGTGACTGTGAGATCAGCTCCATTCTTCCATTTAGAAGCCACTTGACCTTGAGCCTGTCACTCAGATCTTCTGAGCTATGTTTTCCTGAACACTAATCTTCACTATTTTATAGGAGTTTTAGGAATTGCTGATAAAATTATTATGACATATGATAATAAGCCTTTGTCCAGAGCATCATGTGAGATATGTGATATGATTTATAAGATTAAAACGAGTAAAATATGGAAATACACATTATAAATTGCAAACTATTGGCCAGGCATAGTGGTGCACATGGGAAGTTGAGGCAGGATTGCAAGTTCAAGACCAGCCTATCCCAAAAGATAAAAATTTTAAAGGGCTGGCAATGTAACTCAGTGTATGATTCCCCAGGTTCAATGCACAGTACTGCAAGATAAATATATAAGTAAATAAATAAATTGCAAAGTATTTATCCAGTTTCTGGTACATAGTTGATATTTATTTTATTAGTGAATAGAAAAAGAAATTTTTTCCCTTGGTCAAATATGGTGCTGCACACCTATAATCCCAGTGGCTCAGGAGGCTGAGACAGGAGGATCAAGAGTTCAAAGCCAGCCTCAGCAACATTGAGGCAGAAAACAACTCAGTGAGACCCTGTCTCTAAATAAAATACAAAATAGAGCTGGGGATGTGGCTCAGTGGTTGAGTACCCATGAGTTCAATCCTCAGTACCAAAAAAAAAAAAGAAAAAATACTTTTTCATCAGTTCCTCAATAATACTAAACATTTTGAAGAACACACTCAAAACCTAGGTTATAAGTAGATACTATTTTTAAAGTATTATTATCCATAAAATATGTTATTTAATAAATGAAAAGTCACATAGAAATTAGCTTCTATTTAAAAAAGAAAGTAACTCYGTTATTGCAAGTATCCCATTTGCATGAATAATAATCCATTGCATGATTAATAAAGCACAGATTTCCCGTCCATGATTTTGCTTCTACCCACCTCCCCTCAATTTGACTTTCTTATTTGTCTTGCCATTTAGATCATGCTCTTAGGTTAGGTATGATCTTATCTCCACAGAATGTCCTGCTAATATAATATCAAACCCATAGAGTATAGGATTATAGTTACTTTTGTTTTTCCTCCCAGAGCTCAGGATGAGATGTGACATTTCCTCACCATCTTTCTCTGCTTCTGGTGGATTATTCTATCCCTGAGAGATAGTCCTTTGGGGGCAGGAGAGGATGAAATCCACCCTCATTCCCCACTTTGARTTATGCCTGAAGACTTCTTCTCCCTAGAGACATTTTTCAGAAATTCAACCTTGCATCTTTTGTCCAGAGGGATTGGGTAACATGTTCTCTATATTCCTATGCTAGAATAAGACTCTCCCATTAAATAAGTGAAGAGAAGGAAAACTTTTGTGACAAAATTAAAAATTATGTGTGAGGCCTTAAAGAAGACATAATTAAAATCTTTCCTCATTGATAGGTTCATTACAGATCACAGATGTTAAGAAAAATTCCTTTTACCAATGGAACATCTAGGTTTATCAAAAGTTACCATTATTATCATCATAGCTTAAGTACAGAATCTGATTAAGTTTGATGACTTTATTAGGCCAAAATTGAATTAGGGTGTTGCTGAGTTTTGATTATTCAAGTTTGCTTATGATTTAATTAGTTTCAAAGTGAATCACTGATGTATTTTCCTCTGGCAATGGCAGGAAGTGATATTAAGCATCTTTTATATTTTACATAATATATTTTTCTATTCTAAGTAAATATATGAAAGTATAATGTCCCCTTAGATGATTAAAATATATGCACATTTATATATTAATGCAAATATAGATATTTATGAATAAAATGAAGCACAGAGCAAAGTATTAGGGTTAGACCAGTAAGGAATTTATGAATGACAAGGGAAAACCTTTGCTGGGTGTTAACCTAGGTAAGTAGTTTTAGATGTACCCAGTACCTTTATTGTATTTATTTTTATGTGGTACTGAGGATCAAAWTCAGTGCCTCACATGTGCCAGGCAAGTGCTCTGCCACTGAGCTACAACCCCACCACTGGGTAAGTTAATTTTTTTAATTATAGCAGAATCATATCTGCTTCCTCTAGCTTGAAAGACATATGAATCCTTCATTTGTGCCTTAGAATGACACAAAATAGTGAGATTCACTGTATTATTTTCACTAATGTAACATAACTTAACTTTGTCAATTTTATTACCCATTTCTTCCCTTTTCCCTCCTGTTTTCCTAAATCCCCATCCATACTCTACCTGTCTCCTTCCTATTTCCATGAAGTCCCTTTTTCTCYCTTTTTTCTTCTCTAGCTTTTACATATAAGAGAGAACTTATGATCCTTGACTTTCAGGGTCTGGCATTTTTTCACTTAACATGATGTTCTCCAGTTCCATTCATTTTCCTGCAAGTGACAGAATTTTATCTTTACAGCTGAAGAAAATTCCACTGGGTATATATACCACATTTTCTTCATCTATTCATGAACACCTGGACTGGTTCCATAACTTAGCTACTATGAATTGCTCTGCTATAAACGTAGGTATGCACATATCGCTATAGTATTTTGACTTTAGTTCTTTGTGATGAATAATGAAGAGAGGGATAGCTGGGTCATATAGTGGTTCCATTCCTAGTTTTCTGAGGATCTCCATACTGCTTTCAAGAGTGATTGTACTAGTCTGCAATCCCACCAAAAATATATGAGTAGACCTTTTTTCTCCACATCCCCACCAGCATTTATTGTTATTTGTGTCCTTGAAGACTGCCATTTTAACTGGAATCAGATGGATTGTCAGTGCAATTTTGATTTGCACTTTCCTGATTGCTAAGGATGTTGATYGTTTTTTTCATATATTTGTTGACCATCTGCATTTCTTCTTTTGAGAAATTCTATTTAGTTCATTTGTCCTTTTATTGATCACATGCATTTTCTGCACCTTATGAAGAATCACATTCACAGAGTCCTTCCTATATAATTTCTCTCTACTAACAGTACCTCATATGAATTACCCTTCCTTTAAAATTCTGTATGAGACTTAGAAAAATTTTTACATGAGGAAATACTCAGTAAATACTGTTGGTACAAGATTAAAGCAGGTTTCTTGTAAAAATCTCCATCTACCAATTCATAGAAAAGTTAATAATCTCCAATCATTCAGTTAGTTAAAAGTGCCAATATCCAAGAAAGGCTGAAATTCAATAGAAATATATTTCTACCAAAAGCAGTGATTATTCATAAATGTGTTTGTTCCAGTTGCATTAGTTATTGCAATTATGCAATTAAAATTAAGTATTTTTACAAAATAATTAGCCATGAGTGCCAAAAGAAAGAAAAATGATTATTTTGAGAAAAAAAAATCCTTTTGGAAAGATTTGTCAAAGGTAATGCAAGGATGTCAGTATGGATGTGACAACTCAAAGTGATTAGGGGAAAATAACCATTAAGAACTCAGATTTAATTCTCAGATTGYTTTACAAATATCTGTAAATCCATGGACACATTTAAAATAATTGAAACTGAAATTTATAGATGTGGTAATAGAGGTGTGGTTTATAAAAGCTTTAATAAATGCAACTCCAGTCACTTCAGGGAAAAAAAGCTTTCACCAAAAGCTCTTAGTTTCAAATAAGATGTTTAGATTCATGTAACCATTACTGTATGATTCTTCATTGTGACCAACATTTTCATTTTTCCAATTATTACTGGATTGAATCAAATCAGGTATGTAGATTTTACTGTACCACCTTAGGACAATACCACAACACAAGCATTAAGTAATGTAATATGCATGTTTMAATTGTTTTAATTTAACCTCAAAATCTACAGTTATGATTTCCCTTATCATTTATTTAGTCCCAGTACTAAGATGAGAGAGCAGCACAATACCCAAACAAAATCTTTTCATTCCTATCACCTAAGGCCTGGGAAAAGAAAAGAAGAGATTCCTACCTAGTCCATCTTCTATGCACAAAATCAGAAAACCTCCTTCCTGGTGAAGGTTAATAAATTTTCCCTCAGCAGATAATTGAATTACTAGAAATATATAAAGACTGGGAACTAATACTGCATGGATAAGGAACAACAACAAAAAAACCTTGTAACTTGAAAGATAAATTCAGTAAAAAAGTCAATATTTCTTGGAAGATTAGGGAAACTAATATTCTAAAAGACATCTTATTCAATTTTTTTTTATAAGTAGACTCAACAGCCCATRAAAAGGGGCCTTATTTCACAGAGAAGAGCTGAAGCTGTCAGAAAAACAGTGATTTCTCAACTTCCTCATATTGACTTAACTTGTTTTTCTGGATTCCACCTTGGGCTCTCCTTGGCGCCCAAGGAGGTCAGTTTGGAGCAAACAATTGTGTGTTTGCTGTTGACACAATAATCCAGGGTATGTGGTGATTTCTCAAAAGATAAATGGACCTGCCATTTCCTGGGTTTCACAGAAGCGTCCTGACGTGGAACAAGCTGCCATGACCAGCCAGTCCCAGGGAATCCACCAGCTCCTTCAGGCAGAGAAAAGGGCCAAGGACAAGTTAGAGGAAGCCAAGAAGAGTAAGTATTGCCAGTGACGGGGTTTGTCACAAAATGRGTGAGGCTATGGGAAGCAGGGACTTGAGCATGGGCTTCCAGGTCAGGCCCACCTGAGTTTAAACCCTGGTTTACCATCCTCCCTGTGAAACCCAGGTTGTTCATTAAAACTTGTGTTTTTATAGTGGGGATGAAGTTTCCTAATATAAATCCTTCTGAGAGGCCATGTGCTAAGTGAAAAAAAAAAAATCACAGATTTTGAGGTTATGGAGATGTTACTTAATGCCTGGGTTCACAGCTTCCTTCCTGCCGCCACACCTTGCGTTTTCTCAATTTCGTGCAAAGGTGAAGAGATTGACAACTTCCATACTGTGTCTCCCTACCTGACAGTAAACGAGCAAAGTTTTTATCCTTTTTAAGCATCAGTTTTGATTTTCATGAAATTGGAATCATAACAGTTTATATTTCATTGTTATCCCTCTCTTGATAGCTTTTGATTCTCAATATTTTATTATTATTATTATTATTATTATTATTATTTATTTTTAGTATTAGAGATTGAACCTAGGGGCACTTAACCACAGAGCCACATCCCCAGCCCTTTTTATTTTTTATTTTGACACAGGGTCTCAAAGTTGCTTAGGACCTTGCTAAGGCTGGCTTTGAACCTGCAGTTCTCCTGCCTCAGCTTCCCAAGCCATTGAGGTTACAGGCATGAGCCACCATGCCCTGCTGATTCCAAATATCTAAAAATAWTTCCATTTTATTCTCATTTTCTATMCTTTTATGTAGATCTACATATTCACATGTATCTACATATTCACAAGTGAATGTCTTCAATAAACTTCAACTTTCTTCCTACTCTTTGATATTCACAAGGTGTTAATGTTACTCCTATTTTGAAACAAAATTTATGATTTGACCACAGTTATATTTTAAAAAGAGAAAATATGGTGCCAGCCTCCATGCTCAATATTTATCTTATATACTACTCACCATGACCTTTATTGCAAAAGGGGAAAGTGATGCTTTGAGAAATTATGCAATTTACCTAAGGTCACAGGGAGGATAAGTGGTAGAGACAGCATTGGATGAGGTCTGATTCCTCAGTCAAGATATTAACCAATGCACTGTATGAATTTTATCCATTTTTATAATGAAAAACTAACAACTTACAGATATACAGCTTGAATTAAGTTCCCTTAGGCCAAAATCTGTATTTTTTTCTTCTATTCTACTTTATATCACTTCATTATTTACTTTATAATAATTTGTAGAGGCATTCATCTTCTTCATAATTGTTTTGCCCAACTCTTCCATTGGAGCCAAAGTTTGGGGAGGTAGGAATTATGTCTTAAAATTGTTGCTTCTGTGACTCTTTTGGTGAATGTAGGGCCAAATTAGGATAAAAGCTTAGTTAATTACAAAAAAAAAAAAAAAAGCTTATTTAATTGTATTGAGCAAGTGGTGGAATAGTTCACTGTGATGCAAGAGAAGAAGTCAGGAAGGAGACAGGCGCTACTCTGTTCACTAGGGCTTTCAACCATCGTAAAATCTTTCCCTTTATGAAGATAAATTTATTATCTGAACACTCAGCAATATAGACACCAACACCCCAAACAGAGAAGATTCCAGCTAGAGATGAGAGGAGAGGAGAGAAAAGTAAGGAGAAAGATAAAGAAATGCTTTACCTACTTCCCAATTTCCTCTTCAACAACAAAAATGCAAATAATTGCAAGATGATATGAATACAATAATTTTATAGAAAAAAAAAAGCAATTCCATACTGGTTGGTTGAAAAAAAAATCTCCCCTACCTTTTGTTAAACTTTCTGTTAACCACATTTAAAATTTCCAGAGGAGAAGACTAAAATAAAGATGTGACAATTAGGTTCTTTGCTTCCTCATTCGAGAGGAAAACATAGGACAATATCGAGCCCATATATCATCAATATTATTGTACAGTTCAAATCGTTCTTGCCAATTATGTTTTTCTCCTTTTTCAAATTCAGCAGAGAAGTATTGCTAACCATGTAGGTTGTTTGGGAGTGGAAGCCACTAAGGACAACATGGCTTCAACTTCACTTGAAGACAAAGCCAACCTTTCTCTTGCCTCTTGAGCATGTGCTCTCCTTGGGCAACCTCTTCTCAGATATCAGTATTTAAAAAAATGCAAAATGTATTTCTTCTATACAAAATGCTCATTTTATTTTCTAATAACTTAAAGTACATGCAGGCTTTTTTTTTCTTAGTATACCATATCTTTGTTCATGAGTATTGAGCCAACAACAAAGAATAACCCAGGCTTTAAAAGCATCTTGGAGAATATTTTAACTTTCAACAACTAACTCATACACTGAGTTACAGAAAATGTCAGTAGGTTCTCTTTGCTTAGCACAAATTCCACTGAATACAGTTTTCTTACACAGCCATTAACAGGCAGCAGTGTCTGGTCACAACAGCACCCATCCTACCTGACGCCCCAAGCATGCTGTGGCAAAGGGTGTGTTGGTATGTTGTAACGTCCCTTATGTTTCAGTAGTTTTTGTTTTCATTCATTTATTTTATTCAATAAGAATTGACTGARTGCCTTTCAAGTTTTGTGCCACCTTGATGTAAGCACTAATGAGTACCTGAAGATTCTTACCTAACTCTCTAGTGAAGATAAGTAYCTAAGAGGCCGTTGATATAAGAAATGCATAATGACATGAGTGGTATGAGCAGTCATTGTACAAAATCATATGTTTTTACTTTATTTTTTCTATAAAAAGATTAATTAGAAAATCTGGCATATCAAGGCAGAAGAGAGATTCAMAATGAAGGTTAATAAGTCCCAACAGTGAAAACCACTGTAGAAGTTCTGTATCACTTTCTCTTTCTTACATTCATTTATTTGGAAGTCAAACTTAGGAGTCTGCTTGAGTAGGACTCATGAGTATGTATTTTAAAATGAAAAGAAATGCTTGGGAAGAGAAAAGAAAACCCACCCAAGGTAATTCAGGCAATTCATTGTTAATTGTTTTAGGAATAAAAGTCCAAGACAGACAAGATGGCAATGTTTATATGTATTATGTTGCAAAAATATTAATGTATTTCATTTTTGAGGACTGTCTCAGATCCCAGTTAAGCTGTTACATAATAMAATATAGAGTACAAACATTTTGCCTTAGGGAATACAGACAAGGGAATGTGGTGTGATGTTATCAGGAACTCTCCTGAAGGCCAAAGCCCATCAGGCCTGTAGAAACAGAATATGCTGGTTCCTGCTCTCAAGGCCCTCAATCRCCAGACACAGAGGCACTGAGAGGGGGGGTGGACAGGGCTGTGGACAGGCTTGAAAGTCAGCATGGGARGCATTACAGGAGAAGGAATGTTGGTTTAAGTTTAAAACCCATGTTTCTTAACATAGGTTATTTAGCATTTTTGAACTTCAGCTTTCCTTTTTTAAAATAAATAAAAATACAAGCTATTATCAATCTACCTAATAACCAAGATGTTTAAAGGATATGAAAATGTAYATAAGATAGTGAATTTGAGTTCAAACTAAGTACRTGGAGATAWTTAATATGTATTATATATATATGAATATTGTTATAAATAATAACAACACAAGAGTARGTAGAATAGAGAAATCTAGTTTCATTCTTTGTACCCTGGTCCTTTGTTTGGGGTCTATATTTCCTATTCCMAGGGAGTCCTTGACTATTTCCAGTAAGTTGACGAGAAAGGTTTAGATATTCATTTCTATTCACTGAATACAGACTAATTATATTTATTAGTTAAAATTCTCATATATATTTTTAYGTGTAAAACATCCTTACAGCAGTTAGATGGAATCACAATAGGTTTGTACTGCTTTAAACAATCTTACTAGGAGTTAACATTTTTTTGCCCAATAAATTGTTCATTAATCTAAACATAAAAGTAGGCGCATTGCTCCAAGACAAGTTACATTTTTACAACAGAACATCATAGAGTTGCCCTGGAGGTCCATTGAACTGAATATTGAACTGAGCCTTCAATCAGAATATTACAAATTCAGTATCGCGGTCCACACAAGGAAAAGAGACTGTGTTTCTGTGCAATATGTGACAATTTTGCTTTTAGTTGTGATCTTTTATGAAAGCTGCATGCATTGAAAACTTGGAAAACTGCAGCTCTGCATTAACACTGTTGGAAATGCTCAAATGCACAAGACTCAACATCACATGAAGGACCCATATTTCTTGAATCATTTCCTAACATGCCCTGTACCCCTTCTCACAAATAAGCACTCAAGTTGTCTCATTTAGAATCTGTAGAAAACAATGTCTGCGTTTAACTAAAAATTATAAATSGCATTATAGGATATGCTGTGTCAGCTAATACAATAATGCAAAATAGTTTTATGGTATATACAATATCAACCACAAATAATTTTTTTCTTACATCTGCAAGTTACCTTTTGTTTCCAAATGTGCAGATATTCTGAATTATTTAAACAGGCACCTTGATTTAATAAATTCTTGACTCTGCAAGTGCATATTCTGGGTTCWTGAAGACATGACTTTTAATAAACTAGTAATATAAAAGTTGTTATATTAGAATTTCATGGCCTTGTCTTATATGTTTTGTAGGCCTGTAAATACTTCCTCTTTCTTTATAGTCCGTAGCTTAACAGGGTATTTGTAAGTATATTGAACTTTCATTTCTGTGAGTGGGTGATATTAAATTATAGACCATTTTTCTGGACTAATAGCATTTGGTTATATTTAATCCAAGAGCTACACAAAGCTACTCATTGTGATCTTTAATCAGGAAAATATAAGTAAAAGAAAAGCCAAGGAAAACATCAAGGAAGGGGATGTGAAAGGGAACTAGATTAGAGTCAGAAGAGAAACTCAGTAACAATCAACTTCACCAAAGGAGAGGTGGGMTTTCTTTTTATTTTTTCTTGTGACTTATTTCTTTTTACAGGGATTGTAATTGGTGAGAAAAATAATAGCATTCTTTGAATCTGGTTGGTTTTATGGTAATACTAATGAT